CGCCCCGCCCTGCAACGCCACGCCCCGCCTCGCCGCACCCCTGCGAGGGAACGCCCCGCCAGAGGAACGCCCCGCCACTACAACAACGGCAGCCTCCTGCAGCAGTCCGGCCGGCCGGGGCCCCCTCGGCCCTGCACTACGCACTGCGACGGACCCCACCACCCCCACCCCGCCCCCCTTCCTTCTGTTATTGATTATCTTTTTTCGGGGCGGTTCTAAAGGATTATTACAGCCGGATATTTCTTTTTGTTCTCCTTCCTCGCCCCTAGGCCCCAGTGGGCGCCCCACCCCCTCGCCCCGCGCGCCCGACGGCGGCGGCGGTTGCGGAGGTAACGGCGGAGGGCGAGGGGCGGGAGGAGGAGGAGAACGGCACGGCGAAGGAGGAAGCGGCGGAGGAGGCGGAGAGCGGAGTGCAGGAGCGAGAGAGACAGAGGGGAAGAGGGAGAGAGGAGGGAGAGCATCGCTGCCTCCCCTCGGCGCTGCACGGCGCAGCGCGGCGCAGCCCGCGCTCTGACCCCCCCACCAGTCACCGCCGTGTTCCTCCTTTCCTACGGAAAACAAGATCGGCTTGGTACGGTGCCGAGCCGAGCCGGGCCGGGCCTTTCCGAGGAGCCCCGCCCCGCCCCGCCGCGCCCCGCCGCGCCCGCCAGCCGAGCCGGCTTGCGGCTTGAGCCTGGTGGAGGCGCGGAGCGCGCGGAGCTCTGCCCTGCCGGCGCGGCGCGGACGCGGATAGGAGCAGCAGCGTCGCGCGCACCGAGCGCAGCCCGGCGCGGCGCGGCGCGACGCATCGCCCCGGCGGCGGCCGCCGCCACCGCCACCTCCTCCTCCACGACGACGAGCGCACCCGAACAGCCACTCGGCTCCCCCACCACCGCCGCCGCCACCGCCACCACCCGCCGCCCGCGCCGCCCGCCCGCTGCAACAGTTGCGTCACCGCCCCGATGACGTCACGGGGGCCGCCACTGTGGAAGGGGTGAAGGCAAAAATGGCGGAATGCTCGCAAGCCCGGTGCATGCAGGAGCGCAGGACAATCAGAAAGGAGCTGCAGCGATGGACAAAGGACATGGTTTTCGTCGTAGGTGAGTGTGTCCGTGGTCCCGGCCCCCTTCCTCTGTCTCTCTGTAGTGTCGTGCCTGCCTGTCTGGGGGTGGTGAGATGAGGTGAATCAGACCTGTTGCCAAAATACTCTCTCGCGGCGCTACCCGCAGGACACTGCGCTGCAGCGCCGCGGCGCGCGCGCGCCCGCTGCGCCCCGGCCGGGGCGTCCCTCGCGGCGGCGCGGCGTCCAAGTGCATCCCGGCTCCGACGCGCCCCTCCCCGGCCGCCGGGCCCC